GATCAACTGGGATATTTATCTAAAATGCAGTTTTTCCCCCCCGCCCCCAGGCCTTATCCCTAGAGAGTTAGATTTCCCAGGTGAGCGTGAAGTCCAGGAGATCTGCACTTCTATCAAGCACTCTATCGATCTTTCACTTGCTAGGTGACGTATGCACAGTTCTTTGGTATATGACAGAGTTTCTCAAAGTATAGCCTGGAACCAGGAGCCTCAGAGTTACTGGGGGTCATTTTGGATATAGTTCAGCAAGAGAGCTATTAGCGTAACAGCATGCATAGCTTAAAGCCCTACATTTTCAGTCCCGGAGGGGAGCAATGGGAGTTGGGTTGCTATTACCATGGTTATCGTGTTGAACTACATGCAAGGCGTGTTACTCTAAGTTGCTCTTCTCTGGGCCTGCTACTTAAGAATACATGTCCATATAAAACCTGTTCAGCAAAGACATTGCGTCATGCAAAATGGCCTGCCTTTAACTCTGCTATAGAGATAAAAATGAATTAGTAAGTACAATATTGCATGTAAAATGTAACTCTGTCTCCCATAGAGTTCTTAATGATGTCAACAGTTGCTAAAGCACATCTGTGCTTAAAGGTCAGCTATTATGCTTTCTGGTGGGATATGGGGGTTTGACTTGAGAACTGCTCTTGCTTAATTTTAAACAGCAACCCAAATCCCCAATATATTAAAAGTAGTAGCTTGAAAAATAAAATCAGTACAATTTAGAAATTCAGATGATGGGATGGTAATCAAGAGCCCCCTGGGCACCTGTCAGAACTGTGCAGTTTGGGAGCAGGCTCATGCATAATCTGAATATTTATCCATTTGATGGTTACTTGCCAGGGATTTATTTTAAACCTCCTGTGCGTGGTGTAGTGGGGTGGTCCCCTCCTCCTTCTCTTCTACTTACTGACCCTGTGTTTGACACTATCTTCAAAACATGGGGGCAGGGGTGGGGAGAAAGAGAATTGGATTCTAAAAGCGTGGTTTAATGATAGAATTATCGTAAAAAGGTTAGGAAAGATGTGTTCTGATGCCTGACCTTCACGGCGTGTCAGTCCCAGACACACGAGGAGGCCGAAATGAATACAAGCAAGTTTTTAAGGTTAGAGAACACCTTCTTTGATAAATTAGTCCCTTTGTAGATCTCAAAATTGAATTAAAACACAGCGCTCAGTCACATTTCGGGCTGAACTGTTGCATTTGCATTAAAAGTGCAGGGCTCGAGCATTTTGATGTAGGATTCAGCACTTGGCACGGTTCACGTGGAGTTCAGGATGGTTTTCTCTGCCTGCCTCGTGCTTTATGGGGCGGATTTCTAAATTGCATTTCCCAGTTTATGTTAAAGTCCTTCTCGGAGACCCAGCCGTGTGGTGTCCGTCCGCACACACATGTACTTCCCATTAGCGCTAATGGGGCTGGGAGCCAAGCGCACTGGGAGACAGACGGCCTCCCAAACCTCTTCTGACCTGACCCAAAGTAACAGGATTGTTAACTGCTATGAACACACTGGCCAGACAAAGCTCACATTTCTGTTTCTTTCCCCACCTCACCTAGAAGAAGAGGGTAAGAATCTGTGGACCTCGTGGGGAAACTGAGTGCAGCTGAGCCCCATGGTCCCCCTGTCGCCCAAGGAACTCTGCTTTGAAACAAGTGAGTCCCGCCTGGTGATCGGGCTACCTGGGTGCGTTGGCCCTTGACCCACGGCTCACACCCGCTCACCTCTGCCTCCCTCCTTTCGTACTGGACCAGGTTCTTCCTGCCCTCGGTCCTAATCCTCTCTCTCATCTGTTAGGAAATTTCAGTTTTTAAAGTGTTTCATGTGCCTCCACAAAGCACGCGGCCAGCAGAGGCACGACATTCTCATTCTGTCACACGTCCCTATAATTCCTTTCCATAAGTCCACTGAAACTCTCCTGAAAATTGTCCTCAAGTCATGTTCCCCAGCTTTAGCCACTCACATACCATTTTCACGATTTCTTTTGCATGTCCTCCATAACAATGCAGCAGACGCTACCTTTCTCTACGCTGACTCACTTCTTTAGTTAAGTGTATATATATATTACATATATATATATACATTTTTGAGACAGAGTCTCACTCTGTTGCCAGGGCTAGAGTGCCATGGCATCAGCCCAGCTCACAGCAACCTCCAACTCCTGGGCTCAAGCGATCCTCCTGCCTCAGCCTCCTGAGTAGCTGGGACTACAGGCACGCGCCACCATGCCTGGCTAATTTTTTCTATATATTTTTAGTTGTCCAGCTAATCTCTTTCTATTTTTAGTAGAGACAGGGGGTCTCACTCTTGCTCAGGCTGGTCTTGAACTCCTGACCTTGAGCGATCCTCCTGCCTCAGCCTCCCAGAGTGCTAGGATTACAGGCGTGAGCCACCTCACCCAGCCAGTTAAGTATATTTTAAAAGACTGTTTTATCATTGCCATTAATGGAAAACTAGTGTTTTCCTAATACTTTGAGATATACAAATAATTACTCAGATTAAAAAAAAGAAAAAAAAGGCTTCACTGTAAATTTCCTAAAACTATGTCTTACTCTACTTGGGGAATCACTGTTCACCACTTTACTAGAAGGCAAGAAATAAATTAGTTTGTTAAAATAGGTAGAAGTTACTATCCCAGCAATATTTATATCCACACAGAAAACGAGGTGACCCTAACATATTTCATCCTGGGTATATCTGTAAGCTTTGCACCATGATTCAGTAGGAGGCAAACAGCAGGGAACTGCACAGTTGGTTGGGAATGGCTTTGTCCTGGGGCTGGTGCTACCACTGCCGAATGAACTCTGACGGGAAATAGAAGACTCCTTTTTGCCAACTCTCCTGAGAGCCAAGGGAGCCAGTGCTTACGATGATGAAATACAGGGCATAACTTGTTCCTACACGGGAAAATACCTCACCTTCAACGATAAAGAACATACTCATGGTTTCTATGGTTTAGGTGTTTATAATCTTTCACACTCTTAGTCCTTGCTTTGTGGTAGGCTCATTTCTCTCTGCTAACTATGCTATTGGTGGGAAAACTTCACAAATGGTCATTTCGGTATGATTTGGAATATATGCATGGACGTTTTGTTAAAATATAAACAACAATAAAGAAACTACTACTAATATTTCTTAGGTGCCGGGCACCAATGCTAATCACTTAACATGGATCATCACAGTCAACAAAACAATCCCAGGAGCTTGCCACTGCTATTATCCCCACATAGGCTAACCGTCTTGTCCAAGGTCACAGAGCTAGTAAGTGGGAGAAATGAGATTCAAACCCACAACTCTCTGATTCTAATCCCTGCCCTTTAATCATGATTTAAGATAGCTGCCTATTATTCTCTTATATCTCCATAACTTGCAAATATTCTATAACAAGCCTCAGCTGTGACACTAACCAGCTCTGAAACCTTGGGATCTCCCTCGATCCTATTGAGTCACTAAATTCCTGTTGGTAGCTGAGACAGCCACACATTAGCAAAGAGCTCTAGCTGGAACTGTGTTTTACAAAATATTATTTAACTTCTTTGTCCTTTGCCCTACGAAACAGAGGAAACACATGGGCATAGACTGGTGCTATTGCTCTGAGGAAGTAATTAATGGACTGAAATAGTTGGAATCAATCTAAACACAGATTTGGTTCCAACACTTGGACTTCCAATTTTCTATCTGCGCAAATATGTTTATGATAAAAAAAAGACTTCCCACAATGGTAGTCATTTCCAACTTCCACTGACCCTAAAGTCTATAATTGGGTGACTTTCTAGCTTTCTCTTTTTAAATTAAAATAGAGGTAATTATTTGTTTTGGTCCCCAACCTTTTTGGCACCAGGGACTGGTTTCATGGAAGACAATTTTTCCACGGACTGGGGATGGGAGGGGCGGGGTGTCATGGGGGGGTGTGGTGCACAGCTCAGGGGGTGCTGCCTAGCCCGTTTCCTGACAGGCCATGGACCACTAATGGGCTGTGGCTGGGCTTGGGGACCACAGCCTCGGCTATCTGATGTCACAGAAGGAGCTGCCAATGGGCAAAATGGAAATAATATGTTGTGACCCATCTGTATCTATTATGCAGAAATAGGAAAAATGGGTAAAACAATTTCCTGATGCCATGTAAAGAAACCAAGGAGAATTCAGAATCAGGATTCCTGGGTTCAATTCCCTCTTCTGCTACTGGTGACTTTGAGAAAGTCACCAAGCTGAGCCTCATCTTCTTCGGTCAAATCCTTGCCAAAGATCCTCCTAACTCAAAAATCTTAGGACAGGGCAAAATACAAAGTGATAGAAATGCAAATGAAATGTAAATTAAGATCTCATCCTTCACAATTGTGACTTAATACTTCCAGCCCATGTCCTCAACCCAGGATGTTGGAATAGTTTCACATCATTGCTGCTTTAAGAGCATAAAGGACTTTCTGTTATAAACTATAAAGCACTCAGGCTCGTGCAGTATGTGGAAATTTCATTTCCTTAAAATTGACAGGGTTGGCTGGGTGACTAAGGCAAAGCACAGAGGTGATCAAAACCTTTTATTAGCATAATAAGCCATATCCATATCTCTGAATAACAGGGGCTGCTCTTTTAAAAATCACCAATGTCACTGTTTAAACAATGTTTGCTAAAAATAGTACTTGAGCTGTGAGTTTTTAATTTGTTAACGCAGTGTTCCTAGACATGAATTTCAAATCTATAGAGACTTGAAAGAAATTTAATTAAAGGATTGAAGATAACATTAGTTACAATACTATAATAGATACAATGGCTGTAATTCTCAAAATTGTATTAGATGATTCTGAAATAAGATAGCCTTTCAATCATATTCATTACCAACACTTCCCCAAGAATTATTAATCCTATCATGTGTGCCATGATGAATTAATTTAGCCACACAGTGATATCTGTATGTATTAATACGAATGATGCCACTTCTAAAGATTACATTATTAGAAATGAGGACACATATATTGATATATGAGTTCTTTGGGTTAGCTGTTACCTTTTACTACCAAGTTTCCAGTGCTGCTAGCAGTTCCAAAATGGTTAGTGGCTATACACGTGTAACTTCCAGCGTCTGACTTAGTCACGTTGATGATTCTGAGGTTTCCATCTTCAGAAACGGTAATTCTGAAATCGAAATAAATGAAGCAAAAATGGTAAAGTTTATTTCATAGGACTCATTGCAAATTATTTCTGTCATTCTGTCATCTTTCAAACTATAAATCATGGCTCTATCATTTGACAGCCTCATCTTTATTTAGGATGTTTGTCCACATATGCATAAACATAATTGAGATGTGTGACTGTTTAGTAATTTTACTTTTCTTGCTAAAATGATCTCAAGATTCAGTTGGAATGAATAACTATTATAGATATTAGATAGGTTGTGACCATTCCTCTCTTTTTGGTAGCTCTAATCACATTATGCAAAGGGAAGGCTTATTATAGGTCACCATTAGTCTTAAAACTGCTACTGATGAATAAGAAAAAAAAATCCCTTGATTAATCAATTTATGTCTTTTCATTAAAAATGTTTTTTCTAAATGACAAGATTAAATTAAATGAGGTATTATTAAGCATATTTATTTCTGAAATATGTCAGCCAATGCATTTTTAACGAGATATAAGAATTGAACTTAAAAAAAATTGAAATATTCTACAACTTGGTGTGACTTTGGCAGAATAGCAAATGTGGATGGTATATCTCATGCTCCACACAATAGGGACTAACATCTACTTTCTGCAAGGAAGAAAATGCTTTTGTTGACAGATCCAAAATCTGGAACAGGAGAGATTTTTAGAGAACCTTGTTTTTGATGTGATTACCAGAAAAGGAACAGGAAAATACAAAGATGAATATAAGACAGACAGCCTGGCTTAGAGGCTATTCTAAGAAATTAAAAAAAATGTACACAGATGGTGCATTCAAGGAAAATGTCTTTTACATTTCTCTTGTGTATTTCAAATATGTCCACTTCTTTCCATCTCTTCTGCTCTCTCCTTCTCACTTAGTTTCTCAAACGAGCCTCCCAATTGTTCTATTTCTATCCTTACAGACAAATCCGTTCTTCAGTCAGTGGCCAGATCACCTTTTAAGTTTTAAATCAGATTACATCACTCCCCTGGCTTACGTATTCTGAATAAATTCCTTCTAGAGCCTATGGGATCTAACAGATCTAGGTTTTTTTTTTTTTTTCTTTTTAAGGCCTCTATTGCCTACTATTTCATTCTAATCTTTCTACCCTTCAATAAACTCTAGTCACATGGACCTTTTGCAAGTTCCTAGAGTATGTGGAACTCCTTCCTGCCTCAGAGCTGTTGCACTTGCTGTTCTGCCTGCCTTAAATTCATTGCCCCGGGTCTGGACATAGCTGCCACCTGTTCGCCTTCTGGACTTCGGCACAGAGGTAGTTTTTTCTTGTAGATCTTTCCTGACTCACTTTCTAACGCGGATCTCCCTCTCAGTCTCTTTTCCTGCAACCATTTTATTTCTTCCCACTAAACACAATCTAGAAGTTTTATTTGTTTACTTGTTCGTTGTTTTATCACATGGAATGTTAGCGGCTCTGAGGGCTGTGACAGTGTTCGTCTTACAACTGAACCTCCTGGATCTAGTCCACAGGATAGCGTGTAGTAGAAACCCTATAAATATTTGTCAAGTGGCTAAGTGAATTAATTTAGCCACACAGTGATATCTGTATGTATTAATATGAATGATGCCACTTCTAAAGATTACATTATTAGAAACATATATTGATATATGAGTTCTTTAGGTTAGCCGTTACCTTTTACTACCAAGTTTTCTGTACTGCTAGCAGTTCCAAAATGGTTAGTGGCTAAACACGTGTAACTTCCAGCATCTGATTTAGTATGCTAAATTTAGTATGCAACAGAGTCCTTTACAAATATTTGAAACACAGGGTCTAGGATGGGGGCAAAGCTTCATTTTATAGAATTTTTGACTAAGTATTGTAAAAGCACAAGTGCAGGTTTAAATACACTGTTTGCAAATGCTACATATACATTTTACGAAGCCTCTCATGGATGGAAAAGCTACAGCTACCCTGAGCATCCATCACCAGGGTCTCTGACTCCAGATGATGAGAAGATCTAATATTAACGCGGAAGAACTTCACAAAGGATTTTGGAATACAAAGGATGGGGGCTCACATTCCAGTTCTGTCATTTCTAGCTGTGCGACCTGGGGCAATTTGCTTAACTTGCACAATTTTAGCTTCCTCATCTGTAAAATGGAACTGACGATGCCTGTTTTGCAGGTTGATGTAAGAATGAGAGAAGATAGGGTCAGTGAGATTCCTAGCACGTTTCCTGGTATTTTTTAGACAGTGCTCCTCTTTCATCTTTAAAGCTGTGTCCTTTTAATATAATAATTACATCAGTCCTCTTTTTGTACTTTGACTGTCATTTCTGGCAATCTGAAGTCAACATACGAATTAACTGAGCCATCCCAAGTCAATGTGCAAGATACAGGCAAGGAAGTACCGTGTTTCCCCGAAAATAAGCCCTTCGTATAAAATAAGCCCTAGCAGGATTTCTAAGCATGTGCACAATAGAAGCCCTACCCCGAAAATAAGCCCTAGTGGCGCGTGTGGCTACGTAGCACATCTGCACAACCCGTGCATGTCGTCAACGAGCGGTAAAGAAGACGAGCAGCCCTTCTCATCCGCCCCATGAGAGCTCTAGTGCTCCACATGAGAGATCGGGGCCCATGGTCCTAAAGGAAACAAGAGTCGCAAGAAATTCAGGATGGGATTCGGGGTTTGGAGAGTGATGATGATGTTCCAGAAGAAGATGACTTAACTAGATTTGAATAAATGTAGATTGTTGTACCGTACTTAAAAAAAATAACACACCCCCTGAAAATGAGCCCTAGGGTGTCTTGTTGAGGAAAAATAAGTACAAGAGCCTGTCTTATTTTCGGGGAAACACGGTAGGGAGCCTGCGGTTGGGCGGTCTGTACCCGCTGCTGGTGGTGGTGGTGTGGCTCTCTGGCAGAGACCTGAAGTCGAGGGCCTTGGCTACTGGGCTAGGGAGAGCCATGGCCCCAGCTGTGCCCCCAGCTCCGAACTGCTGAGCTGGAGCGGTGGCCAGAACAGTGGCAGCAGCTGGACTGACCATTGCCGCCGCAGGATTTGCCAGCTGTTAGGTTTTGCAAGCCATGCAGCATACGGAGCTTCAAGTAAAATAAGTTTTTACAAAGTCTACCGAACTCTACCTCCAGTGGTGGCTATTACAGAAGTGGGTTTGAGCCTAAAATGACAAATTGGGAAGCAGCATTAACACTAGGTGTAAGTCCTACTGCCGATAAAGGAAACATAAGCGAGGCTCATGGTAAAATTATGCTCTTAAATCACCCAGACAAAGGACACCAAGGAGATGTCCTTATACAGCAGCCCAAATCGACGAAGCCACAAATTTACTAGAAGCTCAAGCTTAAAAAATGAAGTATGTATGATGAATTATAAGTTCATAATAATTTATGTATGAGTACCAGCTTTTTATAATAAATGGCCTTAAAGCTGCATTTAAAAAATGATTTAATATAAGCTAAATCAAAGCCTTAGGTTTTTTTTTTTTTTTTACAGATACAGACAAGGAGGCCTTTTGTTCATTCACACCACAGAGACACACATAACACTTGCTCTATAAAGACCATCTGATACCTCATTTGCCAGAGAGCAGATGTACTGACAAAAATAGAGTGGTGATCAAATCTTTAATTACCTCAATAATAACAAGAATAGCTTTAAAGGAGTTAGTCATAATCCTGTTTACAAAATAATTTGCTAGAAATTGTCACATGTTGGTGTATGAGGACTCAATGAGCAAGGTAACATGCGTGTTGTGGAAAGGGACTGTCTTCCACTGGCCTGGGGCGTAGGAAACATTCTAAGGAGTAAGGGCGACTCTTCCAAAGCACAAAGCCTTTGGCATTTTAAAATTTAAATTATCAATAATTTACACCACTTAAAGTGGTATCATTATAATTCCAAAAACCTATTGCTTGTATCAAGCTGTAAAATGCCAAAGGATATGAATAAAGAAAAAAAAGGATTTGGCATCAGATGATTTGGGTTCTAGCCTTGACTCAGAAACTTGTCAAGGGTCAATCCTGGCTGGAGTACTTATGCCTTAAAACAAGGTTTCTTAACCTTGGCACTGGGGGTCAAAAATCACCCCCAGTTGAGAACTGCTGGTCTAAGTCATTTTTCAAAAATCGCGCAGACTATTGTGAGATGAATATCTTCCATAATGAGAGAAGACATATGAAAAGTTCTGTTAACTATCGACTGCTCTACAAATATTTTTCCCACCATCACTTCCCGTTTTTGGTATCTCCTTGCACAAAACCCAACTCGCTCTTCACAATCCTCATACGAGTCTCTCTTTGCCCCTTGTCCTCAAGGCTTCCCTACTCAGTTTCCTATAGGCCTTTGGAAATGATAAAATAATTTCACAGGCTATTGGACTATTAATTTTAAAGATATCAATGCCTGACATTGATTTAGTGCCTTAATTCTCCCATTATTATTTGCAACGAGGTAAGTAAAAGAGGCAAGACTCTAAATGCTATTAATAGAATTCCAGATGGCAGAAGGTCAGTGAGCAAGATCATTTGTAGAGGAGGTAACTTACAGTGGCCTTCATTATATCATGTCATATTGCTGTGACCACTTATTCTTCCTAGGTGTTACCCAAATGTGGGGCAATATGAAGTCTGAGGAACTGTGCTTTTGTGAAATTCAACCCCTTTCTTACACAAGCAATGTAGTGTAGTGACTAAAAACATAAACTCTGCAACTAAACTGTCTACCCTCAAATCATGCTTCTACTACTTATGGGCTGTGTGACTTTGGGTAAGCTAATATCTCATACCTGTCTCCCTATTGGAGATAATGGAATAATGAAAGTAACCCTATCTCTTAGCGTTGTTATTAAGATGTGCAGTGCTTAGGACGATGCCTGGCACATAAAATGCACCACTTAAGTACATTAGCCAAATGTTCTATTAAGTGAAGCTCTGTGCCCTCGTCAACCCATTGTTTCAAGCATTTATAAAGGACTCTATTAAGTCTAAGATACCTGCTCAGTAGTTCTGCCACTTT